GATGATGAAGTTAAATCAAAATTTTTAGTTTCACCTTGTGTTAATGAATATGGAACAGCTAGGACAGCACCAGATGATGAAGAGAACGAAGCTCGTTTATTTTTCAATGTTGTCATAGAGAACACAATTTGATTTCAAACTTCGAGTGAAATTCATAAGAATTATACAAATCTACTATAGATTAAATCTAGTTTGTCATTGCAATGTATGTTGCTATGGTATGATTATAAACAAAGATTCATTTCAATAAACTTCAATTTTTATTTAAATAAAAAATCAATTTCTAATTATTATTATTCGTTTAACACTTATTATTATTTTGTATAAATTATTTAAATTTCAAAATAATATTTGAATAAACCAATAAAAATATTGAATGAGTCATCATTCAAATTTGTCGTCAATTTGTTACTAATAAAAAGAACACAAAATAGGTGATATAACACAATTAGTAAATATAAGAGAGTCGTGAACATGAATATAAATATTCTTCATTAACTAATTTTCGCTAATTTATATTCACATAATCTATAGTTCGATTCATCAAACAATTCGATTTGTTCTCATCAATTAATAAAATTCTATTAAGTTTTTTTCATCTTTTGATTTATTATTAAAAAAGCTTTCATATATTTTAATAACATTATCATACAGAAAAAAAACAAGTTCTTTTCCTTATTTAGATCATATTTTATGAATGATCTTGGGTCGTGATAGAAGAATGAATATTGCCGAATGTTTTAAATCTTTTATTTATTGAATTTTTTTTCCTTACGATTTATTATCATCATTCGGAATGTAGGAAAACAAAGCAGCACATAGGAAAGTAACTACGATGTCGATAATAACTATTACATTTTTTCTTGTTCTGAATGACTATGAGGAAAAAATATGGAGGTCAAATACGCCAAGCAGCTGACTCATGTATTCGAGGATAGAACGATGAAGAAGAAGAAAAAATGCAGAAGACAGCAGTGTTGACGAAAAAAAAAGAGTATTTTCTCAACTCAGAAAAATAATGGCAACAAGATGACATTTTTTTACACATTAAAAACACGAGTACTGCTATAATCGTTTCAACGAATCTATATTGATCGTCAAACATTCGACAAAATAGAAATAATATTGATTATATATAAAAGAAAACCAGGTAAGATTTATATGAATAATTATATACTATTCAACTATCGATTTTTTATGAATTACAGACAAGCATAAGTATTAAAGAGAGTCAGCCTATATATTTATATTTCTACTGTAAGTACAAAAATACTCTTACAATATCTATATATAAGACGAAGGAAAAGCTTATTTATGACGTACAAAGAAATCAAATATTTTTTTTCCTTTTAAATATAATTATACAGATCGAAGAAAAAGAAAAGTTCTTTTATGTAAATAATATATTAAATAAGGCTCAAAGATAAAAATGTCAATCTTATTAATCAATTTCGATAGATTGTTACCTTTTACTTCCTATCAATTGTGATTTTACTCTCATATGGAGATTAATCTTTATAAAATAGGAAAAAAAAATTCAATTAGTAAAAATTGCTTTTGAGTAGATCAAATTAATTTTTCATGGTTATCTCTTGGGTTTTATTTATCATCATTAGTCGAACTAAAAAGAAAATATTATGCATGGTTGATGACGTATATTTAATGTAAAAGAAAAGGAAAATCTCAAGAGACTTCATTTATTCGTATTTTAACAATAATATCAAAAACAATATAGTTAGACTTCTGTTCAATAATCTATAAAATTAGTTATTTGTTCATCACATTATTACACACTTTTAGATTAGTTTAAAATTAACTAGTGCATAAATGTCATGTTCGATTAATTCTATATATATACATATAAGAAGAATCAGATGATGATTGTTGTCTTCTATCAAATAAATAAACAAGACAAAGAGAAAAATCGAGTATACACTGCATATGTTGTTTATATAGTAATGATGATATGACTTATCTTATCTCATACGTCATATTTCGATGGATTGATCGAAATCGTACATACATCAATCAAATAATTTAATCACTAACTTAATAATGCTTTCGCTTTAAAAATAAGAAACAATGTGTTGTCTATTTTATTACTAATAATCATGAGTTATGCTTATTTGTAAAGAACATAGATTTTTTGCCTACTGTCATCTTGTTTCTATATTCTCATACCATCTTTTTTCCTCTATATAACCAATACCTATATTATCCGTCAAAGCCGAAGAAGGAAAGAAAAGAATATCGTTGACATTTTCTTTTTTTATTATATATGTTAGTAATTGTATTGACTGAGATCGTATTATTTTTGACTACATATTCCTCTATAGACTTAAGTACTCTTTAGAAAAAAAAATCTATCTATTTTTCATCTTGAATAGATAATTTTCCTTCAAAAGTAATACTTGAATAAAAATCGAAATCTATATTTAATTAGATTTATTCTATAATTATGGGTATACATAATTCAAAAGAAAATCAACAATTAAAATCTTCAACAAATAATAATAATAATTCATGGCAATCATCCATCACTCCAATAAAGAAATTTTCTATTGTTAATGAACAAACAGATTATTACGGTTGGCAAGAAATTTATCGATGTTCACATATTGATTGGCTTCATGGAATATCTGGTAAAGATAAAAAAAAGGCTACCCTATTTGTTTTTATCTCTTAATATATTTAGAATTATTTGGTTTTGTTCAACATACATTTACATGTAATTCTGAACTTCATAGTATATGTGCTCCGGGATTTTGTTCTGAATCCTTATCTCGTAAACTTTATCATGGTTTTGTACGATGTTCAAAAACAAAAAATTCACGTTCAATTCTTCCATCATTATCATCATCAACAAAAAGTAAAAAATTACGTGAACATTTTGAATATAATCATATACCAGCAATGATTAGTTCATTACAAAATTATTCTGTTCATGGTATAATTAATGGTTGTTCAACATTTGGTTTTAATCATGGTGATACAATAATGTTATCGATTTATTCCGTTATTCTAGATAAAACACAATTTATTATTGTGGATTTAAAATTAAATCGATATGTTTGTGCACTTGAAAATGATTATAATGGATTAATTAATGCAAGTAAAGTTCATTCAGCTTGGTCAATGGATAGAACACAAGTTATTATACGTATACCAATGAATAATGGATCAGCTGCTTTAGATTTTTATAAAAGTAGAAATAGTTTTTTTTTGTTATTTCAAAAAAATTCTTGTTTTTTAGTTGTAAAAAAAGAAGCAAAAGTCTATCGTCGAATTCTACCCATTGATATTCATGCACAATTTCAATTTACTCCAAATTACTGGTCATCTCATTTAATAATGTATACACACACAACAGCAACCCATGATCAAAGTACATTGATTAATTATAATATAACAGCATTAACACCGGGTGGTTCAAATAAGATTCAAATTCAAACTATTCCATTAAATCAACAATATATTGGTTCATATTTAACATTGAAAAATGTTCATACATGGTCAACATATAAATATGAAAATATTGTATTTGATGAAGGTTTTCGACTTCTTTCAATTATTTATACACCTGATAGTGTTTATATAATATTAATATTTACTGATATAAATTGTCATTGTGGACAAACATCTCCGATAAGTTATTTTGATATATATAATGCAAATACATTACAACATTTACATCGAATTCATACTCAATTAATATCTCATATATGTCCATTACATATGTGTCGAAACTTTTTAACACCCATATTTTCTGTATCGTCATCTCGTATGGCATTTTGTACAACAAAAAATAATGATGGAAAAGAATTACAAATATCGATTATTGTTTTACCCAATGAACTTAATTTAAAATCTATATGTCGTCGTTTAATTATATGTTATTTAAATAGATTCAATGGAAAAATTGAAGATATTACGCAACAACTTCCATATCGTCTTGGTCAATATATTCAATATCGACCAGAATATCAATAAAAATCAAATATTTTTTTCTGCTAGTGTCATATCAGATTTTTCTTTCAATTGTATATTTTGTTTCAATAAAAATTTTTACGCAAACACAAGAGTACTTTAGGAATGTCTCTTTTGCATCATTTATGAATACATAACAGCAAAGTTTTCTTTTTTTATCCTTGGCATTAATATTAATGAAAATATCTGTTAGTGTTATTTATTAGAACTATTGTCATGTATCTATCGATATTCAATCATTATCATTCTATTTGAACAATACCGCTAGTTAGTTGCGCTTTTATCAGATTTCTATATGGGAAAGAATAGTGAGAAATTAAATTAACAATCCTATCATCATGTTTTATATACTCGATAGAGGAAATTTATCTATCAATTGTTAGATCATGTCTACAGGAAAAAACTAATATAACAAATAAATCTTAGTGCGGCAGCTTACAAGTGATCACCCTTCTAGCTGATCATTGATCGACATGTCGATGACACCTTTTCTCCTGTTGACAATTCATATTTACGTGAGAACAACATAAATTGATGAATAAGCTGTCACCTAATACCGATACGATTAATCAATTTCATACACAGCAGTGACCATTCATCATTATTTCGTATGGTATCAACGATCTTTTTTTTTTAACAGAACTAAGAGAGACAGAGAGAGAGAGAAAGAGAAATATATATATATACAGAAATGTTTCATAAAATGAATTATAGTTCTACTCTACATATCTTCGTATTCAAATTAAAAGGTAAGAAATATTACATTGATAAATATTTTTATTTTTTTTTCTGCCAATAGAAACATGAATCCACAAGATAGTGGTTATCTTAGTTGTAGTCCATGTAATGATCAAACTTATTCTCATTCAAATCATAAACATAAAAAAATCTTAACTAAACCTGAAGAATCCTATGTAGCTCTTATTGCTCGTGCAATATTATCATCACCTAATTATCAAATTTTACTTGTTGATATATATGAATGGATTATTCATCAATATCCTTATTTTGCAACATTACAAAGTAAAGCATGGCGAAATTCTATTCGACATAATTTATCTCTTAATGAATGTTTTATTCGACAAAAAAAATCAGAAAGTGGTCGTGGTTATTATTGGAGTATTCATCCGGCTTCACTTGATGCTTTTCTTAATGGTGATTTTCGTCGTAGACAAGCACGTCTTCGAGCTAAACATGCAAATACTTCATCGGTTCAACCAATACCTTGGATGATGAATACTGATTTATCATATGATTATTCAATGCAACAAGAACAAACATATAATTATTGAAAGAACTTATTGTATAGATAAACAATCTCTTTTTTTTCTTGTTTTTATTCTTATTCGAAATGTTTAATATAATTAAATTGTAAACAACAACAAAATTTTATGTTTATTCATTGATATTGAAGTGTATAGTATGGATGTAAATCATAGAGATCTTCTAATGATACATCATCAGTAGGTTGCTGAAGAGAACTAAATAGACAAGGAAAGATATTGTTATTCATATGAATAAAATAACATACGCAGTTGTTGAAGTTTCATGAGCTTTATTACTGTTCTTTCGATCTTTCTAATATAGATATTAATTCACAATAAGATTATTAAATTCAAAATACTTACGCGTATTTTACCTGAAAGAAAAAAAGAATAAAATGAATGATAGATAGAAATTGATTTTTTACTTACAACATAATATAGCAGTTAGAGGAGCACAAACGCAGCAAGTAACTTCATCACTCATTGTATCGCTCTTTCAAAAATTGTAATAGAAATAAAATGTCTTTTTTTTCTATAATAAAAAGAAAAACAAAGTTATTCCAGTTAACAGTTTTCATCCAAGTACAAAAATTTACGTCATTTTCTATTTTCTTTAAAAGAAAGATAAATAGTATTATTTTTTGACCAGAAAAAAAATGTCACTGATTTATGTCAAAATATTCTACTAAACAAATACTTTTTTTGGTATTGTTTAATTTGAAAGAAGAACATTATACATCAAACCTATTAGTAAATTTGCGTTAAACATATTGTAGATGTATATTTCAATGAATTTGGATCTATCTTATCGGTATTTTTCCATTTATATACACCTTTA